CACAGACCGTGACAGAGAATCCCGAGAACTCATCACAGACCATGACAGAGAACCCGGGTACCCATCACAGACCGTGACAGAGAACCCCGGTACCCATTACAGACCGTGACAGAGAACCCCGGTACCCATCACAGACCGTGACAGAGAATCCCGAGAACCCATCACAGACCGTGACAGAGAATCCAGGGTACCCATCACAGACCGTAACAGAGAATCCCGAGAACGCATCAAAGACCGTGACAGAGAATCCAGGGTACCCATCACAGACCGTGACAGAGAACGCCGGTACCCATCACAGACCGTGACAGAGAACGCCGGTACTCATCACAGACCGTGACGGAGAATCCCGAGAACGTATCACAGACCGTGACAGAGAATCCTGAGAACCCATCACAGACCGTAACAGAGAATCCCGAGAACGTATCACAGACCGTGACAGAGAATCCCGAGAACGTATCACAGACCGTGACAGAGAATCCAGGGTACCCATCACAGACCGTGACAGAGAACCCCGGTACCCATCACAGGCCGTGACAGAGAATCCCGAGAACTCATCACAGACCATGACAGAGAACCCGGGTACCCATCACAGACCGTGACAGAGAATCCCGGGATCCATCACAGGCCATGACAGAGAACCCTGATACCCATCACAGACCGTGACAGAGAAACCCCAATACCCATCACAGACCGTGACAGAGAATCCCGGGTATCCATCACAGACCGTGACAGAGAACCCTGGCACCTATCACAGACCGTGACAGAGAATCCAGGGTACCCATCACAGACCGTGACAGAGAACCCCGGTACCCATCACAGGCCGTGACAGAGAATCCCGAGAACTCATCACAGACCATGACAGAGAACCCGGGTACCCATCACAGACCGTGACAGAGAACCCCGGTACCCATTACAGACCGTGACAGAGAACCCCGGTACCCATCACAGACCGTGACGGAGAATCCCGAGGACCCATCACAGACCGTGACAGAGAATCCTGAGAACCCATCACAGACCGTGACAGAGAACCCCGGTACCCATCACAGACCGTGACAGAGAATCCCGAGAACGTATCACAGACCGTGACAGAGAATCCAGGGTACCCATCACAGAGCGTGACAGAGAACGCCGGTACCCATCACAGACCGTGACAGAGAACCCCGGTACCCATCACGGACCGTGACAGAGAATCCCGAGGACCCATCACAGACCGTGACAGAGAATCCAGGGTACCCATCACAGACCGTGACAGAGAACGCCGGTACTCATCACAGACCGTGGCAGAGAACCCCGGTACCCATCACGGACCGTGACAGAGAATCCCGAGGACCCATCACAGACCGTGACAGAGAATCCTGGTACCCATCACGGACCGTAACAGAGAAGCTGTAGTTGTCGAGGATCAGATAAACGGTTAACTACAAATGTGTCGCAAAGGAGCGGAAGAAAAGGATTTCTATTTAATTAGTAACAATAGATTCATCGTGTTTCACATTTTTAATCCCGCAAGGGATTGCGCTAACAGCTTTTTTAATAAAATAAACCAATTCTATCCTATTATTATATTTTGAGTAATTAACAAAATCGAATCATTTTTTTTAACCAATGAGTTCGTTGTATATTATTTATTTTTTATTTTAATTAATATTAATTCGTTTTAGTATTTAATTAAATTTTCAGGCACTTCTCTACTTTAATCACATCACAGAACGAGAAGGAAAAATGACAAGTGGAAGAGTCACCATTCAATTTAATTCTATTTACAGAACAAGAAAAAAATGACCGATGAATAGATGGCAGTCTCACATGACACAAGTGAATGATAATTAATAGATGCTTTTTCTGTAAGGGTTATTCATTAATCTTGTAGATTTTTTTGCGATAAGAGAGAATATAATAAAAAAGGAAACAAAGTTCTGATAATTTATTATTGAATTCGGGTTCAGTATATAAAGTTGCTACTAAAGTGCCATGAAGGGTGTGGGTGTGCGAGTGTGAATGTGTTTCTGAGTGTGAGTGAGGGTTTTGCTGAATTTATAGTAAATCCATACCTACACTCCACACCCACACCCATACTTCAGCGATAGTTTGATACTCAGAATGTTCGACTGGTAATTTTAATAATGAAATATCCTATATACGTTTGTAAAGAGTTAAACAAGGAATCTTTCCTTAAAAAAAAAACTTCTCGTCAAAGTAATGGTATTAACGAAGATATTGATAATATACTGCGAGGTCCATTTATTTTGTGACATCTATTATAAGAATTAATAAATAAAAACAGCAGCTCCCAGAATTTATCTCTTTTATTAGAGAGGAAAGGGAGGGGAACTATTAAGATCCTTCTATAGATCCTATTATATGTGTTAGTATCAAACGAAAAAAATTATGTTGAAGGCTGACTCTTCAGAACTATAGCTCGCTTTTGATACAGTTAAAATGTATTATATGGTATCAATAGGATAAGTCCAGATAAATCTGGTGATTTCAATAAATCCTATAAATTTCAAAACTATAGATCCCGGTAGTCGCTCTATGCAGAAAACAAAACTTTTTGAATTCATATCTCAATTTTTAAAATTGAAACCTCTAATCGATTCCTAAAACATTTGATTGAGAATATCTTTCAACGTTACAATCAAAGAGATGAAAGAATGAACTGATATTTTTGAATAATGACTTTGAATCGATTGTAACATGTTTTAAAATAACTTTCCATGATCACTCATGATTATTACAAAATACATTGATATTGTTAAAAGTGTTTTATAATTTTCGACTCTTTTTCTAAATATTATTCGTATTTTGGCCGTATTTGAAGAGTAGCACATAAACTATCATCGAAGAGAAATTAGGTTCAACTTGTATTGTCAACTCAAAGAAAATACTATATCGATAAAATTATCGAAAACGATTCTATCAAACTTATTTTTTGACATATGGAGATATGACTCATCAAAAACAAAAAATGAAGTACTGTAATGTTCGAACAGGTAAAAAACATAACTTTGATAGAATTTTTTTCGATATTTGTATCGATGTAGTGTTTTCTTTGAGTTGATGATGGAAATTAAGTCTAATTTCTCTTGGATGATAACTTGTATAACCCATATCGTACAGAACGGCTCGTAAACTGCCTTAAACGACTTGAAAACGGTGAAAAACGGCTGTCGTTACGATGATCGTTTACGGTTCGCCGTAAAACGGAGAAATACGGCGATAAACGATGATCTTTACGGTGATCGTTTACTTACTAGCGGAAACGATTGCCGTTATGACCGTCGTTTTTTTGCCGTTTTCACACCGTTTTTCATCGTATCAAAAGGTGTCCTAAAATCATCATTAGTCACTTTCTAATGATCTATAATTGATTGGTCATTACGTATTTTAAAAAAATTATATTTTTTTTTATTCAGATTCTTTTCACCATCTAGTTCAACTGTAAGTATTGTATTTGAATAAATATTTTTATTTTTTATTTTTATTTAGATTTATCTCAATGAAATATTTAGTAGTATTGAATTGAAATAAATAAATATATTTTTTTTATTAAAATTTTTCTTAATGAGATACAAAACAGTAAGTATTTTATTTAAATAAATAAATTTATTACTTTTTTATTTAGATTTATCTCATTAATATATTCAATAGTAAGTGTTTTGTTTAAATGAGTATATATATTTTTTTTCATTTAGATTTCTCTCATTGAAGTATTCAACAGTAAGTATTGTACTTAAATAATTATATTTATTTTTTTATTTAGACTTATCTCAATGAAATATATAGTAGTAAGTATTTTAGTTAAATAAATAAATAATATTTGTTGTGTTTACGAAAGGTGAGGAGAGGACGAAGTATTGTGCTGCTCTTCACTGAGGACAGACGGCAATAGATATATAAAGTCGTAAACGAGAAAAACCGGTGTAAATAAGACACTATAGGACGAAAATACTGCCATAATACTACTTATCGTTGCTCGCCGGAAACGGTCTTAAACGGCGTCGTTTACGTTCCGGGGAAAAACGGCCCTCAATCCGAGCTGACGGAAAACGGTGAAAAACGGCGATCGTTTTTCATCGTTTAGGGCATTAATTACGTCGTTTTTTCACCGTTTTAGGCATTTTAAGATGTCGTTTCAGACGGCCTGAATGATGGACCTGGGAATACTCTTTAAATACGGTCAAGATACGAAAAATATTAAGAAAAAAGGGTTAAAAATTATGAAACACACTTTATACATATTAATTGACAAAGAGAAGAAAAATCAACCAAAAAATTCTTTATTTCTTTTTTTGAATTACCTAAAGAAATTCTTTCAAAATGTAGAGAAAGTGTTAATCAAAATGTCTATTGTTTAATTTGATTTATTAACTAGAAATCGATACTGTTCTTTTGCATGTGCAAAGAATTATTCACAGGAATCTTCAGGAAAAAGAGATAGGACAAGAGAAAAGATCAAAGACATCTAGACTTCCATACACTTTTTACGATTTTTAAGCATTTTCCACGACATTTTTGAAGTTCAATTTATGTCAATTAGTATCATCAAGAGATTAACTTCTTTGAATTCTATGATACATCATCTACGAATAAGTCTCGTATATCTGTTGTTTAATATACAAAAAATTAACCATATATTTGACCAAAGAAGCTCTTTCGAAAGAAAATTTTTTTTGAAAACTGGACATTCAAGAGGAGAGAAGATGGTCAGTCAAAACTGTACAAGGAAGAAAAGGATCAAACAATACAGTTTTTATCTGAACATCTTTTATAAATGACTCTACGTGTGTAATGTTAAAAGAACATTCAATTCTTTACGTATTTCTATTCGTTTATTATAAGAACTAATCGTTGCAGTTACTATTCTATCCTTACTTCATCCGTGGCACATGTTTGCGACATGTGACCTTTCTTTGGTATGAATTAAATAGATTCGTTCTTATTTCTATTACATTCTACTATTTGGAAATCAAAGAAGTTATTTGTAATAATTTACAACTATGTTACAAAAAGACCTTCATAGTAATCCAAAAAAGGTAAGTTGTTTAAATGTCGTTTACATAAAATCATGAAAATCTTTCTATTAGGCTGGTCCATAGCCATCATTTTCAAGACAAGAACAAGATTCGCCTGATTATGATTGTAAAATGAATCCAGTTCCAGATTATGGTCTTAATAGTTATAAAGGTACTGGAAAACTTCAAGACAAAATCGCTATAATTACTGGTAAGAATTATGAATGATTTTTATCCGTTGTTTTTTTTTTCTAATAAAATAATTATTAATTTTTAAGGTGGTGATTCTGGTATTGGTCGAGCTGTTGCTTGGGCATTTGCATGTGAAGGTGCAACAGTTATTATTTCATATTTAAATGAACATGAGGATGCAAAAGAAATTCAACAAGCTATTAGTAAAATTGGTCGAGAATGTATTTTAGTAGTAAGTCAAACATTAGAAGGATAATTCATTGAGTGACCTTTGTTTTATCTTTCTTTATGTTTATATTTTTATTTTAGCCAGGTGATATCAGTGAAGTAAATATTTGATTTTTATCAAAAAAAAAAGATATATCATACATATTCAAATAGGAAGAACAATGTAAAAAAATTATCGATATAACAATATCAAAATTTCAACGAATTGATATATTAGTAAATAATGCTGCATTTCAAGGAAAAGCACTGGTAAGTTATTGCTAATAAAAATGTCATTTATTATCATGAGAATAAACACTAGCAGCAAATGGTTATCACAGTGAAATATTGTATATTGAATTTAATATCAAACTTGCAGCTTCAATTTTCTTCTAATTTGTGTAACTTTACAATCGTTAATTTTCTTTTAGTCTTAATTCATAGAAAAACAATTCTTTGATTCGATAAATTCGAAATATGTTAAGTCAGATTATAGTGAATATCTTGTCAAACAGATGATCTTAGACAATAATCGTAAATAACTTCTCGAAAGTTTGATTAAAATACATTAAAAATATCATGCGAAATTTAAAAAAAAATATTCCTAAAGGTGAAGCTATTATCAATGTTGGTTCAGTACAAGGGTGAGTCATATTTTAAATATCTAGATCTTCATTCATTCATTGAATTAATATATTGTTTATTAGTTATGATTCATCAGCAGAAATCATAGATTATGCTATAACAAAAGCTACCATTGTTGGTTTTACTAAAGGTTTAGCACGTAAACTTTTAAAGAAAGGTATTCGAGTTAATTGTGTTGCAGTATGTAAAAAATTTCTTTTTATTTATTTAAATATTGAAAATTTTTTGTTTTTCATTAAGCCTGGAACTGCTTGGACTCCATTAGTCATGTCATCATTTCCAAAAAATGAAAATGTTACATTTGCTGAAGGATGTCCAATAATACGACTAGCACAACCACGCGAATTAGCACCAGCTGCTGATTCATCTTATATATCTGAATAATAATTTTTATTATGAAAAATATATTTCTCATGACCTTTTTTTTTTCTTACTATTTTTCTAGCGAAATTCTCGCTGGTAAGTTGAGATTTTTCTTTCAACATATATAAATTTATTTTTCTTTAAAAATATTTAGTAACTGGTGGTGAACCTACAGTTTAAAAAGATGAAATTAAATCAATGCAATTTTTATTTTTGTATAATTTATTCATGCGATGGGCATTTTGTCGATTAGTTTATTTTTTGTTAATAAACAAGCGTTATGTTTAAAAGTTGATGCATACTCTTATTAACTGATTGTTCTTTTTTCAATAAATAAAAGTTATTTATTATCCGTGGAGGGAAGCTGAAAAATGTTCAGAAAAAGTAAATAAATCAAGAAAAACTGCCATATTCTGCTGTTGATGATGCTAGTCGAATGATATTTACGCACATTTTAGTTGGATGCGGATGTGAGTGTAGGTGTAGAGAAAACCCGCATCCGCACCCACACCCTAAATGAGAATATCGTTCCAGCTGTCCAAAACACCATAGAAAACTCCAATAATGTGTCTTTGAAATTTGATACTCTTAGACGTTCTAAGCTTCTGATCTATCTGTTTGTCATAGTTCACTGTAGAAAAACTGTTTCTATAGGAGTTTTGTAAAGCATTTAATGGTAATTCTAATAGAAAAAGTTTAGCTAGATCAGATCCTGGCATCGGATTACAAGTTTTTGAAAATATAGTAATCTGTTTAGGATTTAGTTTCCTAAATTATAGGATTTTCACTAAAAAAGAGTCAAAAATATAGGAGTTTTTTTGCATTGTGTCTACTTCAAAAGTCGATTTTTCAAACTTCACTGTTTGACACATCTTCTTAATTGAGTTAGTATTAGTAGCTGGAACCTTTTCAGGAGGATATCGATCTTATTTAATTCTGTCAAAATAAACTGTTCATTCAATTATCGTTATAAAATTCAATTAGAACATTCTTTATTCAAAAATCAGGAAATAAAAGAAACAGATCATAAAGTTTGAAAAAATAAACAAAGTAAAAAGAAACCAAATACTACTTTTCATAATTGAATTTGATTAATAAAAATATTATTTGATTCTAAGGAATTTTCGAAAAATTTGAAGCTATATTAAAATTCATCTTTCTTATGATCAATAAAAGCAAACTTGTTGAAACTTTGACAGGCTAGTGTACCTCCCTGATGGTAAATAAGCAAAATGTTTAATGTCTATAGCTTTCTCAAATTACGAGAAATCTTATCAACATTACCAAATGACTTAAAAAATAAAAGAAAATTCACGAAAGTCATGAATTTTTTTTAAGTGACTAAGTACTTTGTAGTTTTTTTTCAATTTTCATAATGATCTTGATTAGTTTTTATAGAGCAATATAACATTCCGAATAAAAAAGGAAGTTATGTTCAATTATCGATGTTTGTTAATTTGATTAGTATTCTGATTGAGTACTAATTTTAGTCATATTGGCATTTTCCCTGTCGTTTATAGGTATAAAGAAATACTGAATTCGTTTTATTATTTTTTTAATGTCGTGTTTTAGTTGTTCAGCGTTGATGTATTTTCATCCCTTGTATTTTTTCTTTTAATGCATTCCAAAAATTTTCTATCGAACAAACGTGGCCTACTTTGACAGCGTAAATTGTTGGTTTAGTTTGATTGAAAAAATGTATTTAACAGCATTCAAAGCCATTCACATCCTTTATTTATGATCGTGATCATCGTGACAAATAACATTCTGTCGATCACCTAGTTGTGAAGAAACTTTTTTTTTACCGCAAGATTTGGAATGAATTTTACATTTTTGTTACTCGTAAAATATATTTTCTTACGACAATCACTATCTTGTGCTCTAATAAGCTATAATCGCTCATCCCGTAAAGATTGAATTGCTTTATAAATTTATCAACTCAAGTAATTGAAGAAAAAAAAACAATACATGACGGTGTTCTTATATAATTTCTCATCTATTGAAAAAAGCTATAGACTTGAAAGTTCGTAATAATTTACTATCAAGTAGACATGATAACCTGCCAAAGCTTCAAAGAGTTTGATTTTATTGAATACAAGAACAGTGACCTTGAATGTTGCTTGAGAATTTCTGAGATATCCGTTACATGAGATTGTAATAAACAGTTTTAAAAAGAATACCATCACTTTGAGAACATAAGTTTGCTTTTTTTGAATATCTCGTATTTAAAGATTTAGCTATTTTTTCATTTAATCCATTTTATTAAGTAAAAGAGAACAAATTTTCTATATTTCAAGTGTCATTATAATGGTTGTGAGCATAGAAAAAAGATGACTACATATTGTACATGTTTTCTCCGATGAGTGAAGACTATGTACAACGTAGATCACAGTTTTTCGGGCAATTTTCTACTTTTTTTGACAAAATATAGGAAAAATAGGAAAAGTGATAGGAATATAGGACAAAATATAGGATTTTTCCAAATTATAGGAATTATAGGACGAATCCGACCCCAGCAGATCAAATGTGACAAAGTTATTGCAAAAATACGAAATACTGATTTATTCTGGGTTATTCATTATTCTTGATTATGCAGTCAATGTTGTGTATAAATTAAACAGTAGACTATTTTGGAGGCATCTGCGGCTGCTCACTAGCCTGCTGTTGAGATCTTCGTTCTGCTTCTTGTTTGATCATCGCTTGTTGAACATGAGTTGGTAGACCTGGATTGAGACTCAAAGCATAAGGCAAAAGCGTTTTAGCCATATCACCAAAATCAACCATCACTTTGATGAACATTGTGTCGTTTCGTACATAAGGATTTCCTTCTTGTTCAATCCTTTCTAATGGGAAAAATTTTGGTATACCACTAGCTATATTCATATCTGATCGAGGTCGTTGAAAACTACTCGATCGAATGTCTGGTCGAAATGAATCAATAATATGTCGTTGTGCAGACGTCTGGTCGTACAAACAAAATGTGACTTTAAAGTTGAATGGGAATTTGAGAATCGGATCGTTTACACTTCGTATAAGCACAAAAAAGAGTGACATATGTGTACGACGAGCATTTCCATCACCATTTAAATAAAGACGAGCTCTCATTTTATAGCCAGTTGAAGATGAATAAAATGGAGGTGAATAAATAGATGTTTGTCTTTCAGACTGTGCATCGACTAGAAATTAACTAGAAAAATATATGAAAAAGAGTAGAGGCAAGTGTAAAGAAATTTAGCAGATCGACCCCATTCACAGTTTATTTCGCCAATGCATCAATAGATTATAGTCATATATTGTATTCAAGAGTAATTATATATTACGTTGAATATGATATTCGATCACATATGAGACGATTGCAAATCATTTGTGCTGTTTGAATAAAAAAAAATAGCTACGCTCGTATCATGTAGAATTTTTAATCAAATTCAACAATTTTTTCAGAAAATATCCTTCACAAGTGTGGCTAGTTTGGCTGCTAAAATCAGCCCTCTACCTATTATTTATTGTTCAAGGGCATGAAAATATTGTCGTTTTTCTACTTGAATTCCACATGGACATGTCCAACAGCAATAAATTAAGCTGATGTATTCATGGTCGTAGATTTGGTAAAAAATGTCCGTTATACTGTAAAATGTTTTTTTCTGAATGAAAACGTCAATGAAGTTTCACTGAATTATAGCCAAAAGATAGACCCAAAGAAACTGCGGGTTTTTTGGCAGTAAAATCGATTTTTTTTCACTAAAACAAAAAAAAGCCTAGATGTATCTTACATCAATCAAAAGCTTCCTGAAAGGCTCATCTAACTAGACGTGTAAAATCCTTTACGAGTGGCAATGGTGAGTTTACTTAAGTTAAAATAAGCTTTAACCCGTTATTTATGCGTGAACAGAAGATACTCTTTGAAAAATAGACTTAATAAAAGACTAACGTATTGTATAATCATTGACAAATTATTTAAAATCTTACTTTAATAATCTACGAATTCTAATAGATCGAATATTGTTTAAAGCAGTAAAATATATCTTCTAGATGTGTAATTCATGCCAAAGTATTACAGCACACGATTCAGCCTGATAAATTCAGCTTTTTAAAAAAATTAAATTTTACAATTCAAAACTCTGCTAGAAAGGCTATCTAAAAGTGAATTTCCTTATTAGGGTTGAATAGCTTATGATTCCGCTTAGATGCATCCTCGATCCGTTTCTCTAAAATAAACTGCTCACACTTCCTTTATCACATTTACAATGACTTGATGATTCTCAATAATAGGTTTAAATTACCAATTTTTCATAATTTTAGCTATTCTTGATAATAGCAGTCAGACTATTACTGATCTTCTTCATTTCTCTAGTAGCACGATCTACCCCAATATGCGAACCATTCCACTAATAAATGGAATTTCCAAAAAAAAGTTGAAGCCAAATGGTACAAATGGCTTGCAATCATGTCATATGTATTATTTGTCGATGTTATAGAAATCAAATAATATCTTATTGGTTTTGTACTTTTATGATTGAGCATAAGTGTAATTGTTCAACTTACGCATTTTCTCTTTAAAGTTTGTAATTATCCACACCAACGTTCCGTCATATGAAACGTATCGGAGATCATCGATTTTTTCCTGCACTGATGCTAAATCTTGATTGAGAATGTCTTGATTATGTTTCATTCCTTCCAAAAAAGCATTTGATTCTTCAATTGATAACTTAACTTTTGATAATTCTTCTGTCAATGTTGGAATTGTTACTTGAATTTGAAGTGATTCATTGCTTAGACGGTGTTGATCGTTGTTCAATGTTTCAATACCACCTGACAAAATGTTGAGCATTTCATAAAGCTCTTGTAATTGAGCTGTGCCTGGATTACAATCTCCTGAAGTTGTTATTCGAGAAAAATCATTATCTATTTGTCTATCACTTAATTGCGATAACATCTGACGAACAACTCTGGTTATGGCATGTTGATGCTGTTCAGTTAAATAATGCTCTTCCAGTTTGGTACGGATAATCTTAAGAACAAAAATTTTCAGACTTTACTTTTATATGGAGAATATCCATACTTGCTCATTGCAACCAAAGTCTTTCAATATACAATTGACGGTCAGTTCCTGACATTCGGAGATTTTATGTTCTTTGTATTTATTAATCGAGTTGAATTCTTCGCCACAATATTCGCATGTTGAATTTGAATGATGTTCATCTAGATGTTCCTTTGAAAGAGAAAGATAGAATATTCATAAATAAAATTAATATAAAATAAATTACTTGATAATTATTTAAGACACCAGTCCATTGGCAAAAAGAACAATCAATAGGTAGTGATTTTATATCATTTTTGAAGCCTCGATCAAGTAGTATCTACAGAAATCAGATATTTTTTCTCTTTAATTATGAAGAGATACAGTAGAGTGCAAAAGTCTTTGCCCTCAATATTTCAAGTGGCTTTTCGAATGAATATGATTAGTAGGGATATGAAATATACACATAGATAGGGCATAGTGGAAACTTTCAAAACAGTACAATTAATAGTTGATCTTCTTTTCCTTTGAGCCAATTACAGCTAAATATATTCATTTCATCGATTCGATCAAATCGTTTAGAGTAACTAAGCTAATTTTCTCCACATATTTCATGTAGAAATCTGCCGAACTAATAGAAACTCGAGGAGTTTCTGCTTCTCAACACGAGTTTTGGTGATCGACCAGTGATTTTGTACTGTATTAACGTCGAGTTTACTCGATGTCCATTTCGATCATTTCATGTACTCTATTACTAAGGAGATTTCTCACTAATGAACTAGGATTTTTAGGTTCATTGTCTTCTGGCGATCAGAATATGAGGTAACCTTGAAGAATTTGAACATAGTAAGAATTATACATGTTACTATTAAACGATAACTACTGATCATGCTCTCATTGTTTCGTAAAAGCCGCTGAACTAGTGGCTTTGTGTTGGTAGTAGTTATCCCGAAAGGTTGGGAAAAACAGCGTTAAAGGGCGCTTATTCCCAATTATGACTTATTCTTTGGTCTTGGTAGACTTCGTTCTACAGCCCGAACGGAGAGCTTCGACAGACGAGCATTTGTGGCAAGATATCGATGGACGATTATTTCAAAAGTGTAAATAGGTTCATTGCTTCGATTTTAGCGAAGTAGAATTTTGTTGTGGAGGCATCTGTTCCACAACTCAAGATTATTTATGATGATTTGTGACTTACAAAACTATATACTGATCCCGTCTCACTTACTAGAAAGGTCTGAAAAAGATCTTTCAGAAACCTTTAACGATAGGCTTTCAGAAAGGTAGCCTATACAAGAGGCAAGGACTTTTGCACCCCACTGTATATTACCTCGGTTCGTGATGATTCAGATTGGCATAGTGGACATTTAATTGTTATTCTTGAAAAAGAATAATGAAGAATAAAACTACAAATTGATAATGAAACTTACTCATGTTGAGCATTGAAACATAATTGACACTGTCGGTGGCCACATTCGCTTAATTGTACAGGATCCCGTAGTATCAATGAACATACAGGACAAATATACTTTGTATCAAGAATATGTTTATTTTTTGCATCAATGCCTACCGTTGTTTTAACCTGACTAATATGAAACAATTGTTTTATGCTATTTAGATGTATAATGAATTGCTTCTTATAAGCATGTGGGATGTGAGTGTAGATGTGAGCGTTGATCATCTCTTAAACAACACCCATACCCATACTCACACCCATACCCTCTAAACATTAGGACTGATTGGAACTGAAAGAGGATGAGGATAAATGACTAGTTGATTTCGCTGAATCTAAGTAGCACTGCGTGACTATAATAATTCCAAGTGAATCCAGGTAACGTCAATGTCAAAGGAAACAACTGGTGCCTATACACATTACACACTACCATTTCTTTCGAGATCTCGAAACTATCGACGCTATTTCAAGAACAAAAAATATTTGGATTGCATGATTGCAGAGTTTATGTTGTTTTCAATTTGAAACTGGAATCGAAACCGAAAACTGTTGCATGGTTTTCCCCTCGTATATAGCTGTAGTCAAACATTTTATGCATGTGTATATGGGCCTATGCACGCTTCACTACCGAGCAAATAGTTATAGCCCCTTGTGGGGATCGAAAAATCAAAGCGTAAAAAAAGCAATACTCACCCCTATTGGTTTTAATTCAGCTTTCGACACTATCTCGGAAATTGAATGCAGTCTTTCCGCTTGACCGACGAACGCTTTAATCAATTTTTGTCGTTCTTCTTCACTAGAAAGAGGTAGCTCTACGCACTTGTCAGTGCCATACACCACAACAGTGTTCTCAATAACACAAACAGCAGTTCCTTGCAACAGTGCAATGTGTACTACAACTGGCACCCACGCTGGATTTTTTGTATACAAAAATACCTTGATGAAGTGCTCCGAAGGAACAGTCTTTAGATGACGCAACGTAAGTCGATTAATACAATAATAAAGCTTTCGAACTGTATCGGAGTGGAGCTGTGCCATTGCCCGGAATGAAGAAAGAAGTCTTCCAAGCACATTAGTCACCTCATCCATAACCATAACTCGGTCATATCGAAGACCAGTCATCCGCGCGTCAGTCACATCTTTGGAACATCCGCTTTCATTTATTTCTTCCATAGTTGCGCTTTCTCGTTCTCTGACGCTCCCATTTTCATTTAACATTATAGTAATCACCTGATCGATGACATCATTAGTTACTGCATTTTGTCCCATTTTCTCGATGGCTCGACATGCACTGAATCTGACTTGCCTATCCTTGTCAGCCATTGTATTCACGAGGCCATTCATAACCTCACTTGTTGCTGCCTTTTCACCCATCTTACCCAGAGCTTCACATGCATAGAACCTGACATCGTTATCACTATCCCCAAGTGCACTAATTAGTCGATTGATGGCTTCACTTGTTGCTGCCTTTTCACCCATCTTACCCAGAGCTTGACATGCACTCAATCTAACACGGCTATCACTATCCGCAAGTGCAATAATTAGTCGATTAATGACCTCACTCGTTGCTGCTTTTTCACCCATCTTACCCAGAGCTTC